GTGGTGGCTGTCCCAGAATATCTGGGTTATATTTATGTTATTTTTATTAAAGAACTAGTTTAATTCACGTAGTTGCTAATAAGTACTTCATTCTTGTATCCATGAACTCATTTTGCTTTGAAAATATGGTTTGCAATATCAGAATATGTCGATATGAGAATAGCAACCAACGTCAATGGCATGTTCCACTGCCTACTTGTATCAAACGCCTAAAGTCAGTGATTCGATCATGTCTCCATGGTACGTGCAGAGTATCAGTACATTTCGCATAATGTCCTGGACCACAGCAGTACATTACTCCTAATCAGTGAAGCTTCTGCCGTAAGAGGTTCGTACGTCATGGTACGTTAAGAAATGCGTCTCTTTTTTAAAGCGTGTTTCTTCTTTCACGGCTCCTTGCTTCTAGCTGCTTATTAAGCAATTGAAATAGTCCTGTTGTCAGCATAACATACGGTGTAGCCGCTGATTGCTCAAGCAGCTCATTGGGCCTTAGAAACAAGCAGAGAATGTGACTACGTTGTTCCAATTAAGAAAAGTGACTCGCATATGTCAGACTGACAGGTAATAAGAGCTAACTTGTGCCAGTAAAGCCATAATGTATTATATATGCGAACTATGTTATATTATCAATTATATCATATTATTTCCAGTGTGTCTAGCTATTGGTTATCCAGCGGGTTTCCGGTTTGCGGGCAAGAGAACGACTTCCATATACAAAGGTTAGCTGCAAAAAGCATTCGCGAACAGGCAGCAGTGAGACCACTGAATCGAGGTTAGGAGAGGCGAGCTAGGGAGTTCGATCCTAATGAAAATATCACATTGCCTCATTACGGCATCAAGACGAGGTGAAAGTGACTCTCCCACATGAAGTAAGAAGATCGTCATTCCACTTCTGCCTTGCCGGTAAACTTCGATTCGTCAAGAAAAGGCTAAAAGAGAAAACCATTGATAAAAACTTGAACTGTATAGGGGAAACCGTCGGCACGAAATTTCCAAGGCCATCGATTGCTCTGTCAGCGGGTGGCAGACTCCATGCGCAATGCAACACAAAATATTGTGGCCAGAGTGATTCGTCGCCGAATACCTACCGGTACAGGTGACCCAGGTGATTTCATTACATCCATAATTGTCATAAATGTACACCATTTCCATACTATATCATAAGCATTACATTTTAAATATATAATGTAATCTTTACCTTCATTATACTTATTGTATGATTTGTATCACTGTATATATATCATAATGAAAAAGAGTATTATGTACCCAGAAATTTGTTGAATGCGACCATATCCTTTGGATCGCCGTATGTCGTGAAGTCTCCGGCGATGATCAAGACGTCCCCGTGTGGAATGGCGATTTGTTCATGCTTGCCGCAGGTACTTGCTATGCAAACGAACCGAACGTATCCGTATTTGAACGGCATGTCGACGTCCATTTGTTTCACAGGCATTATGCACAGGTT